CAAGAAGGTTGGGCTTTCCAGCTCCCAGACTGCTAATCCCAGCCCAGAGTGGCCTGACCCCTCCCACTAACCACCCGTGCTCCCAAGTGTGTCCCAGCCCACCAGAGGGGCCCTACACCCTCCCGGGGTACAACAACCCTCAGCTTTGATGTGTACCAGTAAATACACACCCCAAGAAATCCATTCATTCTTCTCCCATAAGTTTTCCCCGAGCTCACTACACTGGAAGCCCTGTGTTAGGCACCAGGGACGCTGGCCCACTCAGAAGTTACCCATCCATTGGGGAAAAGCGGTGCCTGAACAAGGAAGTACACTGAGGGTCCTTATCGGTTAGACGCTGGGAAGGACATATGTGAGCCCGATGGATGCAGAAGTCAGTCAAGGCTACTTAAAGGAGTTAGTTAATGTTCGAGCTGAACTTTGAAAAAAGTAATAAATGAGGTCAGGGGGAGCAGGGAAGGGGATGAGCTTTCCAGGCAGCGCTGAGGCCATCGCATTTGTGTGGCGGCCAGGCCAGCCTCTCTCTGGAGAGCATATGCTTTATATTTTGGGAGACTGCAGGACAGCTGGGGAGGGTAGGTCGTCTGGGGTGACCGGCTTGCGGAGCCCAAGAGTATCAACCACAGGCAAGATGGAGAGGGGAGGGAAGCAGAGGGCTGGGAGCCACTTGGGCCCCTGCAGGGTCCTGGATTTATGCTGCAGGAGACAGAGAACCACGGAGGGGCAGTAAGCAAGGGCGTGACATGCTAGGGGGGAACCCTGGGCCTTGATGGTCAGCCTCATGGTCTGCGGGCCCCTGCTGCCCTTCACACAAAGCAGGATCCTGTCTATGTGTGTTTGAACCATGTTTCACCCACAAGCATGTTAAGGGAAGAGAAAGGAAGAGAACCCCACACATGGCTGGTCTGGACGCTGTCCTAGGCCCCAAAGGTGGCTAATGCCAGGTCCAGCTGGTCCCCATTGCTATCGACCGTAACTCCAGCAGGGGCTCAGAGGAGAGCAAAGAGAGCCTTTCATGGGGGAGGAGAGACTGGAAATAAGGTGAGAGATTTAAGATGACAGCAAACACTTATTGAGTGTTTAGCATATACTGGGCACTGTCTCAAGGCTTTTTACATATTAATCCTATGAAGTAGATTCTATTACTGTCCTCATTTTACAGAATGAAGCAAGTAAAGCACAGAGAAGTCCCACGGTATCTACCAAGGGGATTCAAATCCAGAGTCAGGCTCCTTTTGCTTATACTATAAATACCTACTGAACACCTACTATGTGCCAGGCACTGTCTGGGCACTTAGGATACAATGGTGAATAAACAGCGAAGTTACAAATAGTCCATGTTGTCAACAAGTACGCCGCACTACCTCCCTGAGGTGGGATGAACAGAAGCAAGGGTCAGTCCTCATGCCTGGAGAGGATGCTCAGTGCCCCAGGGCATTATTGGCCCAGTTGCCAAGGAGAAAGAGCAGCCCCTTTGCTAAGAAGCTGGTGGCATCTGGGGCTCATGACCCCTTCTCTGATAGCCAGGCTACTGGACGGAGGACCTAGGGCTCAGGCCCTGCAGCACCCACCCTCACCACTGGGAAGAGTGTCCCTCTCACCGTCTCTCTGGGCTGTGCCCCATCGGGCGGGGGGGGGGGGGGGGGGGGGGGGCAGTCTGCCAGGCAGACTTCACAGGAGAAACAGAGGAGACTCAGTTTCTCCTTCCCCAAGTCTTTTCTCGACCCTGCAGCACCGAGGGCTTCTGTCAGGCCTGGGGACTAGAGCGAATAGGTAGGAGGAAATAGCAGGACACTGGGGCAACTGGGCTGCTCTCCTGCCTGGGTGGTCAGCAGCTACCTCTGCAATATGACTCAGCAGCAGCCACTGAAGCCAGGCAAGGGAGAGAGGGCTTTGGTGTTGCAATCTTGCGCCAGCTACTCCAGGCAGGCGGTCTGAGGGCCAGGTCAGCCTCAAGGGTGTGGACTAGGGTAGGAGTGTGTATTGGAGGGATCTTTGGGGAATTTTTTAAATTCATAGGCCAAGGGCAAGAAAGGCATTATCTGAGCTTATATTCCTGCTGCAAGCTCTACAGAGCCCCTGCCATGCCCTTCTTCCAACCAGTTCCTTTCTTCCTCCTCTTTCCCCAAGAACCTCCCTGAAATTCTGCCTCCTCCAGATAGCCTTCCTGAACTGTCAGAAGTTAATGCTTCTCCTCGCCTCTGATCCATGTACCAATGCACAGACTGACTCAAGGCTTCTCCAGTGTTTTCCTCAAACTGTCATCCAAGTCAGGGAGTACAGCGCCCCCATGCCTCCTGACACAATAGTCAAATTCTTTTGACATCTGATCTTTTAGCTTCAAATATATGTGAGCTTTGCATTCTACTCCAGGATATAGCCATACATATCTGTTATTATATTGTGTTATTTTATTTTTTTACATCTTTATTGGATTATAATTGCTTTACAATGTTGTGTTAGTTTCTGCTGTACGATAAAGTGAATCAGCTATAAGTATACCTATATCCCCTCCCTCTTGAACCTGTATTTTTTTTTTAATGTCTTAAGTTACTTACAAGGTGAATCATAATTTTTCTCCTAATACCTTCTAGGAAATTGATGCTGCAAGAAGATGCCCCACGTGTAACCTATAACTTTGTAAAGTGCCTGGGACTTCAGCACGAATATCATGTATGCCTCGACTGGAGGACCAATGAGGCAATAAACTTCAGCTGGAAGGACACAAGAGCTTCTTGTTGATACAGAGACACTGAGCCCTGCAGTCCTTAGGGACAGCCAGGCACGTGGGCAGCTGGAGCACCCTCTGTGATCACCTCTGGTAACATAGAACAAATACTACCTTGTTCTATGGATGCCATGATGGGGCTGTGGTCAGGAAGCAGTTATCTAGAACAATGGTTCTCAAACTTGGCTATAAATTAGAATCCCCTGAGGATTTTCTAAAAATCCCAATGCTCAGAC